TGCTGAACTCGGGGGCATCCCTACCATGCTCCCCTTGTCGACCTACCTTATTATTATTATTATTATTATTATTATTATTATTATTATTATTATTATTATTATTATTATTATTAGGTGGAGACCACTGACCGTAGCTTTATTCTCGACTTCTTTATCATTCCGATGCGCATGCCTTACACTTTGTTTTTTGCTGCCTAATCTTTATTTATTTATTTTTACCGTGGAAAAATAAAATGAGAAAGGAAGTTTTCTGGATTTGAAAGTGAGAGTAATAAGAAAGAAGAATAAAAGAATAAAAGAGATGGAAGATGCAATAATTGCAACTACAGAGTCGCTGAATGGAGAGGGTGGTTAGAGATTTGATACAAAACAGTAGAAAATTAGATGATAGGTAAAGGATATGGGCATTCTTATCCTTTTATATGATACTTAACGTCGGTTAATGGTTTTGGACAAATTTGATACTTTTTAAAAGTTTAGATATTACAATAATACGTTTGAACCGATACTAAATTGATACTATTCTCAAAGTTGAGGGTATTAAAATGAAAATTTTCCTATTATATACCTCAAAATATGTTACTGTTTATACGCGAAGGAATAGGTCAATTCAATTTAGTTCATCCATACGGTTCGTTAAGAAAAGGCCCCTAGATTCTAATTAATAACAATTCATCATGACGAACAAGAATAATCTCATCACTTATGAGAGGAATTTGATCATGAGTAACATTTCGCCATTAATTGAAGGGCAATCCCAGCTCACATTTAGCTGGTTGGACAGTTAAAACCGTCACCCAACCATAATTCTGCTTCGCGGCATTCTCAAATCCATAAGCAGCTTAAAAGCTGTTGGCTTAGTGAAAAAAAAAAAAGCCATTGATCCTGGTGTATGAACTGTCAACCCGTTTGACCTAAACAATGGGTCACGGCCTCACGGGTTACAAACTATTTTATACATAAATAATTTTCAAAGACCATAACTTCTCATTGAGTTATTGGATTGTGTTTTTTTCTTTAAATTTTTGCGATCTATGTATTTTAAGGCACTGCTCATTATTTTTGTCAAAAAAAAACAACTCATTTTTTAGCTTCAAATTTTAATCTTTAACTTTTGTATATATACAAAATAAAAATTAAACGTACAATAGAACATACATATAAATATAGAAAAACAACTCAGCATCTTGGTCGGATTTGACAGAGAGAGAAAGATTTAAAACAAGGACCAGAGTCATATTAATTAGCTAGACTGCATTGATTATAAGCTTAATAATAGTTAAGTTGTTGAGAAAGTGGGGAAAAACATGGAAGAGTTTTTCCCTACGAAAAATAAATCTTGTATAAGTTTCCTTACTTTTCTAAATCCAAAATCGTTATATTGAATGTTTGTTTGACCAATCAAAACCACCCCGGCTCCTAATTAATTTTGAATTTTGATGAATATAATTCTCATTGATTAGGTAGTATACAACTTGTCTCATAGCTTTAAATTCTCATTCGATGCAATCTACATGGCCTGCTCTCAGAGATAGACACAGAAATGTAGTTGCAGGGGGTCTGGGGTCCATGACCATGGATATCCATTGGTCAAAGTCAAGACAATCGCATGGTCTATAAGTTCCCAGAGGTGCATATAGAAGAATATGTCTTCATGTCTGCTCTCATTCGTGTTTTAATCTATTAGCAACCGTAAAACAAGTCGAGATTACAATTAACCTAAACTAATAGTAATAGGGGCCCAGAACTCAAAAATTGATTATTCTTCAGATGGACTTGATAATTTGTTGGAATGCCCAGCCCAAAGAATGATAGATTCCGAGAAAAAGGCCAAGAATGATATTCTTTGCCGGTTGAAACGTCAACATAGGGGTTGTAACGTAGCAATCCACGACTCGACCCAAACCCATCAGCTCTTGTCTTTTTATTTATTTATTTTTATTCTACTTATTTTCTGAGCTAGAGTAAGAGAGTTGGCCAAACGCTCAATTCTCGACCTGGTTTATGAATTGGTCTGCTAGTCAAGTCGTCTACAGAAAAAGAAGTCTTGACGACCCAGCTATCTTCGACATGGAAACATGGTTGGGGGCCCAAAAGGCC